ATTTTGTGGATATTAAGGGCAGTGCAGATATTCTACTTATTCTCTAATATCACATGCATGAAATCACCCTCCCTCAAAAAAAAGACCATACACCCCAAAATATCCTGGCAGAGCTTGACATCAGTAGCTGTATACACTAGCATTGTTGTGAGACACCTTAGAGTCTAAATATTTCCTCATTTGTGAGAACCTGTGATATACGTTTTTTGCAGCATATTTGAAATCCAGCACAGAAAAAGAAAAATCTTCTGTAAGGATTTACATTTGACAGTGCAAAATAACAAATTCTTAAAAAATAAGCAAAGGAGTTTAGCAGCCTCTTGCTTAATTGGGATTCATGCTATTAAAAAAAGTAGTTGGAGCTGTCTCTCATTCTAACTCTTCTCCGGCTGAAAAATATTATTCATTTACATTGTTGACTGACTCCCTCTGTGATTTAATCCTTTTCTTTACATCCTTAGTGGGTAGAGCTAGTAGGAAAGTCACAACCACCAACAATAACATGCCACTTAACTCAGAGGTACTGATGGGACATTTAAGTAAATTTAAGTCAACATATATAAACATTACATTGCTGGCTTGAAAATCTGGACGTTTGCAGCTGGAAGTTTTGATTACTTAATTGATACTGATTTTCAAATTGCTTTTGAAATTCAACTGCTGGTTTGAATCTGCTCCAGATGGGCAGTAACTGAAAACTGTTATAATCTGGCAAGTATTTAGTAGCACAGATAAGGAGTTGATCGCCTCATTAAAAGTATCTCAGACATATGCACAGATTTAAAAAAAGCTGTTCACTGGCTCAGCAGAGTGTTTGCTGAGGGGAACCGAACTGCTATGTCATCCCTAAGGGCTCTTTCTGGCACAACAGTGGAAGGAAGCTGCTAATACTGTTGCCCACGGAGGTGAATATAAAATACGTTAGGGTCTGTTTGTTTGCCTGTCAGCGAATGCAGTGTGGAATAGGTCAGTGCTAGTTTTCAGTGTAGTCAGTGGAAATTCGTTTGTGAATAAATGTCCCCCCACATGAATAAGAACCACACAGCTGAGCTCATGGGTTTCAGGAATCTGAAAGTGGTACGTATTTTTCCACCAACAGGTTATCAAAATTATTGCCTACCTAGTAACAAATGATATAGAGATGGTAATTAGGGGTGAAGTCATATAAGCGTCAGAGCTAGCCACCTTAAACCCACTTTATTGTCACTGGGGAGAAGCAGACATTTCAAAGGGACCGTGCATCCCATCCTAAATGAGAAGGCTAAAGATGCTCCAATGAATTGTGCCCTGGTAGTGCCTCGTTGTTTCCAAAAAGCCTAGGATGACTGGCTTAGATATACAGGGCTGTATTTTAGCTTTCTTAAGGTAGGCGATCCCATCCTAAATGTCATCCCATCATTCTGAGTGCCAGTTGCTAAAACATTATATGAATACTTCTACACTTTTTTACAACCTTTGAACCTACTCTCTTATCCAAAGCCTTATGTCTCTGTTTCCACAAAATCCTGTCATTTTTATTAAGAAAAGGTACAATTTTCTGTAACAACCTTATCAAAGATACTGACCAAACTGATGTCCCTGGCACAATTTTAGAATGCTTTGTGACCGCTGCATGATTTGCATGGCTCTTTTCTTACTGCAGATAGCTGGGTTTCTGTATGGCACTAGATGGCAATATTCCCTCAGCTCCAGCAATGGTCATGGAAACGTTACACAACAAAGGGACGTATTCTGACCTTGTGTTCTTGTTATCACCCATGTAGCTCATATTATTACGGCAGGGTTTTATTAGAGTGAGGTCAGTCTGGGCTGCAGAGGCTTTCTGCTCTCTCTGCATTCAACCCTCCTAGCTTGAGAGCTTCACAGTTCTCTGTCAAAACATTCATTGGACAAGTATGCTCACTGCATCAGGTCTTCCGTTTCATGCAGAAAGCCCTTGTGGTCTCAGACTGTTCCATGATGTTTATGCTCAAGTTCACAGGCAAGAAGTATCTTTATCTGGAATATTACACGGCTTTCCTGCTGCCTTATGAATACTGATGCAGTGGTAGAATCGGCCAAATCGTTTCTCAGACGTCTTGTTGCCTCATGTCACTTGGGGGTGGCTCAGTTTTTCTCTCATGTTTGCTGTCAGCTAAAATAAACATAATCTAAGTTCAGCAAGTGTAGCACAATGATTCTGCATTTGTACCAGATGAATTTGACCCCTATCCCTGTGTGATACTTCTAAAGATTTCCTCTAGTCACAGAGTTTACAGGAAGCAAGAAACTTAGAGCCAGCTGTGAATACTGCATCTCTCTCTTTTGTGTAGCCAAGATTTTGTTTGCCTTAGGACCGCTTTATTCAGGCCCAGGACTAGTGAAATTGCTCCTTTCAAAATCAGGCTTATCATTGACCTCTGTGAGACCAGGATTGTTATAATTATTTTTCAGTAGCCTAGGTGAAATGCCAGAATTGCCCAAATGTAGGAAGATACTAAAGAGGCTCGTAGACAATATGTGTCCCAAGCAAGATATTGAGGTAGAGACTGGAATTATTGTGGAAAAGTTTTTTTTTTCTGTTCCCTTGTTCCCATAGGACCACCAAAAGCCTCCTCTTTAGGCCTATGCCTGCCACTTCCCATGCCTCTCTGCCATACAACCTCTTTTTCCCAACTTACAAACCTAATTCCATGCTGCCAGAGCTGTCCTGCCGCATGCGTTTTGGATGTACTAAGGTACAGCCACAGAGGAGGGCAGAAGCCGCATTTTCCCCAGGAGAAGCCTATGCTAGGAGGTATATGGAATATCAGGCTTTTCCTGGGTAGCTTTGCCATACCGGTGCCCAGAGGAGAATGTCCTCTCCCAGCTATGAGGAGCTGTAGGGCTCCAATCTGCCTGAGAGAAATTAAAAAATTCAATGCCCTTTGGGGCTTGAGGCAAAGCACACTGGAGCCCCGAAGCAACAGGACAGAAAAGACAAGCATTAGGGTAAAGTGGAACGAAGTATAAGCCAAGCAGCTAATGTAGAGAATTGCTGTTGTTTTGTACTACATCTGATCAAAGAAGCCTTTCAAAGGAGCTCAGAGGAGCTCCTCCATCATCCCTTTGGGTTGGGGGAGTTCCTGCGTGGGGCTGCGGGCTGCTTTCCTGTATCTCAGTGAAGCCCTATGCAATCTTCGGTGCAGACTGCGTCTGCCAGGTCCTGGGCCTTTAGGATTTACGGGGAAAGTTTGGGGGCATGTCTTATTTTGTAAGAACTCCTTCCTCCATGTTTTTTACTTCTATATTGTCCAGTCAAAGATCTTTAAGTTCTGGAAACCACGGACAAATGATGTTTTACACTATTGTGAAACAGTGAATTATCCTCACTCCTGCTCAAAGGATAGAGGAAATTAGGTTAAAAAACTGTCCACCTCTGACAGTAGATCCATCACCCAAGCCCTAACCCTTTGCCTAGCCACACTTTTCTGTTCATTCCATACTCTTCTTTTCCCATTGGCAATAAAAATATTCTATTATTTGTGCTAAAATGTGAAGTCACTTATGCTAAATATAAGCAAATCCCCTTTGCTGAATAAAATATACAAAATGTAGTAGGTTTCATGTTGCAGGTGCCTGTTTAAGTAGTTCTTGGTGGTATATTAAAATATTTGACTAGGTGAAGTGCATCACGTTGTGTACATAGAAACCTCAGCGTTTCTGTACCCATATTTGTCCAGAGCATTCTTTCTTGTTGCATTTGCATCATCTGCTACTTCAAGTCCTTGTTTATACATTTACCAATCAGCTCAGGTGGCCAAGCAATTACAATAACAGACAAACTTGTAATATGCAGTAAATAACTGTATCATGAGGTACAAGGTATTACCACATGGGCTCAGGCCCTGATCCAGTATCGCATGCTCTGAAAGAAGGCTTCACTGGCCTCTGCGTTTTTCACTGGATCTTTACTTGCACTGGACCTTTATACTTATAGACAAACCACATGGTTAAAATTCAAACAACAAATTCAAAATGACTGATATGGACAAGGGAAGGCATGCCTTACAGGCATTGAATGTACACATTTTGCACAGGCAAATGAATATTGAATTTCATTTTATGTTAAAACTGAAGATATATAATATTTTAAAGCAGCACAAAAACTTCGTAGAGAGAAAGTTATTTGGTAGCAATGTACTTTAACGTTCATGGTGTCCTGCAGTTGGCACAATTGAGCTCGGGATCAGGAACAAGTACTTTGGCTCTGCTAGGCTTTCTATGTGGCCTTGGAGAAGTCACCTAACCTCTCTTTAGAGAGGATTCAAGCACACCTGGAGCCTTCTTGAACTCATGTGCTAAACCTGTCCTTGTACTTATCTGCCTCAGTTCACATTTGTTATTGCAACAACAGAAAGGAAGACAGAGGCTGAGCAGGCAAGATGGAGCAGAAGGTATGGGAAGGTTCAGAAAATCTCGCCTGTCTTAATGCCTTGTATACCCCAGTCCTCCTAAAGTAAGGGCTCACATTCCTTGGAAATGGTAAATGAAACAAGACAGACTCGTAGGATTCCTTCTTTTTTTGGCAAACACTCTTACCCCTGGAGCAATGAAAGAACTTGTTTTTGGTACTGACAGCAGCTGTGTTTTCAGGCTTCTGTATGTGCTTACCCAGATTTTAGGCTGTTCTCTACTTAAACCCAAAAAGTTGATGGGGTCAAAGTGTTTAGTAACAGGCACCTCAGGTTAGTTATCAAAGAGGTGATTAGTGGATTTAGGTGTCTACAGGTCAATGCTAGATGGCCCAGATAGATAGTGTCTGGGACTTTTTGACATAGTTGCATGGGTTCAGGCACTAAACTTGCTAAACTGGGATCACTTTAGGTGAGATTAAGGTAGCCTGGACTCTACACGTGACTTTTAGTTTGCTTGTTACTCAGAAATGATGCAGAGGAAGCTTTTAGCTAAGAAATTAAATGAAATGGTGCAGAAGTTTTTGGTGTAGGATGCTGAAGTGCTGTTTTAATATTTTAGGAAAGGTTACCAAGGCAGCGGATGGAGAAGTTGTGCTGTTTAACGAGGAAGAAGAGGAAAATGAAAACCAACAGTCTAGGTAATTTAATTAGTGGAATAACAGTAATAAATACTGGGGCAGAGGCTGGGTCAGGAGAGCCTAAACTCTCCTTAGGCTGCTTAATTTTTGGAGGGTAATTATCACAGTGAGAGCAAGATGTCTCCTTTCCTGTGAGTGGCTAAGCAAAAGAGTGCCACTAGTCTAGCTGAAATAGCCATTAATGGGAAAATTATGTTGTGAACCTCTGATGCATTTGAAAAGGAAGAGAACATTTCTTTTCCATTGATAGACTGGAAGTCAACTGAGAATGAAATGCATAGAAAAAAGATTTATGTTCTGAGCCTGCACATTTTGTTATGTAAGTGTACCACTTCTCTGAAGCTGGCATCTGTTAAAATCCCTCCTCACTCACTTGAGGACAGGCAATAGAAAGTTTGCATGTCAAGTTCTGCTCTGTCCCACCAAATTTCCGCAGTTTCCTGTATTCTTTTTCTGTGCATCCCAACCCAACTGCCAGTGTGGTTTCTCACGCTCCAAGCCCTTGGTCTTTCCCCAGGAAACAAAACTCCTTAATTTCTTCTGAGGCATCTTTCTCTCACATTCTCTGTCTTTCCTGATCCTCTAGCAGTGTTTCTGCAGTACTCTAAAATACCCAGGTTTCAAATGGTCTTGAAAAATAAGAACGGATTAAAAAGCTAGCTCCTTTCTTGACCTTTCCATCTGCTCCAATTAATTTTTTCCTCCCTCTGGTTTTCCTGGAAACTCCTGAGTTGTACTGTTGCTTGCAATGCCTGTGACCTCTTTCGTCTAGCTGCTTTGTATCCCCAGAAATCTCATTCGTGTCCTTCGTGCAGCACAGAGCTGCTGTTGCCATCATCACCAGTGAAATCCTACCTTGCTAACTTTTTCTTTACTTACCTGTTCCTAAGCAGTGCTATATTTGACAAAGTGATTAAACTTATTTCTACTTGATTTTCTCCCTGGTCTGGGCTCTCTTTTAACTCTGGCGTCTTTTTCACCTCGCAACCTGGCAGGAGGACTCAAAGAACCACACAAATCAATGCAGCAGAGGAATGTAAGAAAAGAGGGACTGGAAAGAGGTATTCAGAGATGCTGGCAGTGACCGAAGGAAGAGGAAGGAGCCAGAGCCCTTTCCGATCCTACATGCTCCTCCTGCCTGCGCTGCCCTTTTGTCTACCCTCTCCTCCCTCACCACAGGCTACACTTGGCTCTCCTGTCATCTTCCTCGTCACCTCTGTGGTCATCTCTAAACTGAGACTTATCATTGACACCTGGAAAACCTGGAGACATATTCAGAGAGAAAATAGGTATTAACTACCCTGTGGATATGCACATAGCACCTGAACCAATTACCTATTGCACTAAGAGAAGGTGAAGCTGAGGAAAGGCTAGTGTTTTACACACGCATGTATTCCAAATGCCTTTGGCATCCATGTCTCCCATATCCTTCTGTGGTGTCACAGGAGTCCAGGTACCAACTTGCTTTTATCTTTGGCAGAAAATACGAAAGGTTTGATTGTGCAGATTTGTGTGTATGGTCACTGGACACTTGCTGACAATAGATCTGTGTGGGTTCTCAGATGAGGGAAGATCAAAACAAAAAGGCTGAAATATGTGTTTATAGACAAAAAGAAAAAAGAAAGAAGAGAAAGGCCTAAGAAGTAAGAGAAATAAAATTAAGGACAAAAAATTGTGACCTCTGAGCTCTGAGGAAGGCCTGGCTATTTCAGAAGACAGACTGTACATTGCAACTAAAAAGAGGTAAAAGGCCAGCAGCAGTTTTACAGTATCCTGGTAATTAGTAAAAGATTACAAGCTTATTGTACAAGCCTGGTTCATGTCCGTGCACACAGGCTTCATCTTTGTTGGATGTCCATTCGGATGAAAAACTTCTTTGTGGACCCAGGAAACGCATATGAGGGGCTGGGCGACAACCTGGTCGCCATTTAATGGCGAGTTTTCCCGTATGTTTTTTTACTAACATAAGGTCTAGGCACACATTTCCTGGAACATTGGAAGATTAGCTTCCTCAGTACTGCAGGTTGATGTATTGTGTTCTCCCAGATGATACGATGTGGCAATATACACTTTTAGATCAAGGCTGCATCTACCTTTGGCAAGGCCCTAGAAGTGCTCTTAAATAGATGAAGGTCAACCATCAAATGAGTATTTCTCCTGATTCCCCAAACCGGTATCAGATATATACATAAGGCTCAGGCCCTACCAGTCGGTTTTACTAATGCATCTTTTCCAGTTTCGTTATACTAGCAAAATCCTCCAAGGTATATCTATACTACAGTTTAAAGGTGTACAGGCAGCCAGCATAACCAATGCCTGCCCCAGTGTTAAGATAGCGGTTCATGTTCGGCATGTTCGATTAGCATGCCTATCCTACGCAAAGCACAGGCAGGCAGGACAGAGCTATCTGAAATGGCGTCAGTCACCGGCACAGCTACAGGATGTCATGCAGAACCATCCAGAGATACTAGCTTACCTTACAAATCAGTGTGGTGTCTTCAGAGTTGGGTTAAACCTGAATTAGTAAATCCTACCTCCTAGCAGAGCCGGTAAGTTTCTGTGGAGATGTTCAAGATACAACTAAACGAATCCTTGAGCAACTTGATCTAATTTGACCTGCTTTGAGCAGGATGTTTAACTGGATGACTTTCAGAGGTCCCTTCCAACACCTAAATTATTCTATGAGCTGATGCAGATGCAGCCAATTCCACTATTAGTGCCATCGCCATATGATGCTCCACTGAAAAATGCTAGGCCTGCCCTTAGGTACAAGGGAAAAAAGGTTGCATGGGCAGCTTGTGGGCTAGCTATCTAAATACCTAATCTAAGGGAGAAGGTACATTTTGCATTGTGGTCCACGCTGTTTGACTGCTGTTGGCTCCTGAGACAGCTACAGTGAAGCTAACTTTGTTTTGTACATCAGCTGCAATCTCACCTGCAGATAGGTAGAGTGTGTGGTCTGAATAACTCTGATACCCAGAGCAAATGGGAAAACTTCAGGCTCTTGGTGTAAGAAAGAAGGCACAAGTACTTCATTCTGGTCTGTGAAGAGAGCGCCCCATTTGCCAGAGCTATGAAAGTGACACTATATTTGCAGATTTGGAACTTACTAGAGTCTTTGCATAAAGCTTCATAACTAAGATGTTTGCAGTGAAAGAACTGCTGATGACTGTCTTCTCAAGTGTGGCTCAGGTCTGCAGATGGAGTGTTAGCAAGGAGCGGTGCTCTGACGAGCAAACAAGCTGACCGTGTTTCGAAACTCCCTTAGAGACACAGCTCCTTTGTTTGGTTTCTCACTCAACAACATGATAAAGAGGAAGAATTTGGGTGGAGCTGATGTAAACTAGGGAAAACATATCATGTTCTTCCTTCAGTTTGCATCTTGGGGACATGAAGGACAGGGTCATAAGGACGATGAAGAACATGCTCCTTCTCTTCATTTCGCTGCGAGTAATATCTGGTAAGAACATGATTTCGTTACATTGCTAAAATTAGAGCACTGTTGGCTGTTGTACTTTCTCTTGGGAGCTTTATAATACATATTTAGGGATCAGACACGGATGGAAAAAATCAAGAAACAATTATTTTCTTACTGAAATAGATTTGAGTTCTGTGGTTACAGCAGTACAATAAAGAAGAGAACTTCCTCCCTCCCTAAGACACTCTGCTGGATGAGGCACTTCAGTGTGCAATATCCACTGCTCAGTGTGATGGTGTTGGAGTAGGAAAGGAGGTCAGTTCTCCAAGAAACCAGATCTAAAATTAATACGCAAGCATTCTCCTTTCAAATATTGATAACATTAGTATTTGATGAAATAACACAAACACACACACACACACACACACACACAGAAAAACATTTGTGGAGGATATTAGTAAGGAAATACTGTTATCTTTGCTCAGTGTAAAAACCTGGAAGGTTTGCCAATAAGGATGTGCATATGTTAGTAACTTAAAGTACATCTTCAAACTTCAATCTGCGCATGGCACTCGGAGCACTTCATATTGCCTGTAGGGTCATGTTGCTTTCAAGGCACTGAAAGAATTCTGCCAGCTCTCAGGAACCTCTCAATATTTGATGTTTTTCCCTGATAGCCCAAAACTGTGATCAGGAGACTGCGTGCGAATCTCAGCTTTCCTGGGAAAACAGTTTTCTTCTAACCCGCATGCTTGCAGAGAGAGAAAAGCTTGAAGACGTGACTCAAGCATACTGTAAAGACTAACAAATCACAGCCAAACAAGACTTAAATATCTACACTTTTCAAAGTCAATCTCATGATTTCTTTATCATGGGCTCATAATTTGTTAATGTTTGGGGTTGGTAATTCTGATAAATAGGATATTAAATTGCTTCAGGTATGTTTTGTTCTCTGAAGTAAGGAGGTAACCAAGGACTTGTGAATACGGAGGGAGGGCTTTTGTAAAATTGTGTGGAAGAAGAAGGCGTGTAGATGAAGCACCAAAAATTTCAGTTAAAAAGTAATGAGCAAGCAGTAAGAATTTATGATATAGAAAGAAAAATCCTGAATAAACAGTCAATGAAAACTCTAGAGGTTTTATGAAAATAGAAACTCTTTTCTTTCTGCAGCCATTTGAAAAATGTGATAAATTATTTCATTGATTTTTAAATGATTTTCATTAATAAACAGTGGCTTGCTGAGACAACTGGATTCGTAAGGTCCTATCAACAGGAGATTACATTAAAAGTTCAGATCCACTTATGGAAATGTATCCCCAGAAGCTCGTCTTGGCTCAGTCTGATTTGCATGGGTGATTTTTGTTGATGATGTTTTTCAGAATCTTTAAGAACATTGATAAAAGCGTAATCCTTTGCTGGGCCCTGCTTCCACTGACGTAAATCAGTCATGACTCAGCTGAAATCAATCCTATGGAGGTGTCAGTGGGACCGGTTCAGATTTACCTCCCTGTAAAGGTGGTTCCCATCTCACAGCCTCCCACATCCTAGCCTGTACCTCACCCACTGACAGGCTACCTCCAAAGCCTTTTTTTCACACATGCCAGAATCAACCCATCCGGCTGTGTGGACCAGCTGTGCCTGGAGCATGGGGTCCTGGAGGCCCCTGGGGAGAAGCTCCCAGGCAAGGCTGCAGGCCTGTCTGTTACTGAAGGAACCAAGAGTCTCCCCCGAGGCAAAATCTTCCTCTGCAGCCTAGTACGGCCCGTTACCTGACCAGGGCCTACATAGTTCCCCCTTCTCCTCCCCATGTTCAGGGTGTGAAATCTTGCTAGCTGTGAGAAAAGGACCTTGAGGTGTGTGATAGAGTTGTGCTGTTGTAAGAAGTACTCCAGGAAACCTTGCGAGAAGCAGTGCTTCCTGGGGTAGAATGGAGGAAGAAGTGGACCATGGGACTCCCATGCTTTGTCTCATTGACTCATCTACTGTTAATTAGTTTTGCTATCTGATGAAGCAAAGGCACTGGGGTCCAAACTCTTCTCTGGTCCTATGGGGAGCAATTATTTTGGAGTCCACTAATAGGGATAGTATCTGTCACACAAGAGCCATATGTGATCTGTCCCTAAAATGCTCCAAAATTTTGCTAAAGATGCAGGAAAACAAGCTTTTGGAGAATTTGGAGCAAAAGTCACCAAGGCTTCTTCAAATAGAAGAGCACTGGGACTGAACTTTCCTCCTGCAGATTAAAGATCCTGGTGCTGTTGGAGAGACGGCAATTAGGGAGTGCCTCTTTGGTAGCTTATGTTGGTCACCCTTCCCCAGCTACTCGAGGAGAAGAGGGAGAGGGAAGCAGGTCTGTCCCACTGCCTGGAGGTACTAGAAAGGAACAGATTCTCTCTCAGCATTACGTCTCTGAGCTCTGGGTTGAGCATCCAGGACACCCAGGTGGAAACATGCTGCAGCCCTAATGGCCTCACTCTATCTAGTTCCAGCAGTAGCTTTTTACCTTGAGGCTGCCCAGCAAAGATAAAAACTCCTGTTATTTTTGCTACAGCAGGTGGTGGTGTAGGAACAGCTCAGCTAGTCAGTCCCTTGACTGAGGAGTATCTGCCTCAGTCCTGGCTCACAGGATTGTGTTGGACAAGCTAGCAAAGCCCCACAAGCAATATAACTCTCAGTCAAGTCTGTTCTCCTACTGAGGTACGCTGTCCATTTAGGGATGTGAGGTTACTAAGATGTTGTCTCAGGACATGCCCTAAAAGCTGTCCTGATTTGCATCGTCTAGGCACTCTTCACAAGGTAAAGCACTACTGCCCATTAGAAAAATAACAACCCCGCCAAAATAAACAGCAGAGCAAGCAGAGATTTATTCTCACAGAGTCCAGAGAGCTGACTGAGTAGCAAGGAGCTCACGCAAGGCCACTGGCTGCTGTAGGGCCCTGGGCTGTTTCCAGGCACTTTTGAACCACACCTGGCCTTTGCTAGCCTGTGTCTACTCCAAGGAAGGGACTGCTCGTCTTCTAGGCTCACAGCAGAAGATGCAACGGCTCAAACCCAAAAGCTGCTACTAACTCACACTGCTCATGAACCAGGCACACACATAGCTGTGCTAGAAGGAATAAGAAGAGGGAAAACATGGAAACTGGCTCTGCAGATGGCATAATTCACAGAGATGATCACTTCTTTAGCCACCCTGACCCAGGGGATTCAAAGTGCTTTTTGATGTGACGAGGGCGTAGAGGCAGTAATTAGCACTGCGGGTGAAACTGAATAATAGAAACCTACTATGTTTTTTTGTTTTTTACGACTATACGTAGGGATATCTGAAGGCAAACAACGCAGTAACAGTGCTACTTTGGCATCAACCACTGTGGATGACAATAGTATAGGACCGAATTAGAGAAACGGTTGACTCCTTTGCCATTGGCTCTGGATTTACTAGAGTGCAATGCCACCATTCGTAAGCAAAGAGAGAAGCAGGTCATTTTGTGCTCAGTGACAGCAGCTCTTGGCACAAGCTGTGTGCTCCTGCTAGCCTAAGCTTCCCAGAGGTAATTTTACATTCATTTTCATCTTGCAGGAAGAAGAATCCAGCTGCTTAGGGGTCTACCTGCAACAAGCACCGTGGAAGAAAACGCACCAGCTGGTGTTTCAGTTTATGCCTTTAATGTAACTGTTTCTCCATTGTCTTCTGAAGCTGTTACAATACATCCTACCATCATAAATTCAAATCCACTTACAAAAGCTTTTGATATTACACCCATAGGAGGTCTTGCATACAGGGTGAGTTTTATGTCTAGTTTGAGCAGTGTTCAGTCATGTAAACTGATGTTTCCTGGATTATTGAGAACTGGTGGCACACAGTGACTCCTCTTTTAATCAGAAAAGAGTAGCAAAAGCAGACTGTGGTAGTATTTGGCTATGCTGTAATAGGTATGACAAATGAGTAGCACTAGTGCTTACAATTTTTAGTTGCATCTGGGCGGAAAGCCACAGATCATAATAATTCCATTTGTTCTGTGATAGAAAATGTGATTTTCTAGAAAACCTGAGGTTAAAAAGAACATACAGGGCCTGATTCTGCTTAGAGGGCTTGTCCATACTTTTTCAACTTAATTTGTATGAGGTAACTGTGAATTTAAAGTGCATTAGTAAAGCCATACACAGCTTCTGTTCGGCCACTCTCATCTGGAACTGAAGTGGATTTGATTCACTTCCAAAGTAGTTAGCTGAGTCAGATCAAAGCCACATTTAATTCCGCGTCAGGGTTGTGATACATGAGAAAGCGATCGTGAGGTAACAAGTTATCACACTTCCACACGCTGCGATCTATTTCTGTCCATTTGTGTGCACTTCTCCCATGGCAAATGCAAAGCCAGTTCTATCAGCTCAGGCCTTTTTCATTGCGCTGAGCGTTCATGTGTGTGATAACTTGTCATCCCATTGTAACTCGCTTGTATGACTGAGCCTGAACAGTGGCACTGAAGAGAGTCATTAGAACGTACTGGTAGACACTGAGTAGTATCTTAAAAAATTAATTTGGATTAATTTCCCTGGGTGTTCCCAAGGAGTTCTGGTTTTCACAGACCTGATACATGACCTTTCTCGCTCTCTTTGCTGATGTTTTAGAAAGAACATTTAGGGGAAAGTAGGACTGTGATGCCAAGGGGGTTGCAGCTCGTTGGTACAACCTGCCTGGTGGGAGGGAGATGCACGTGCTCCCGTGCTTCTGCCTCCCAGCAGATTCCAACGCTCTGCTATGCCTGTTTCTTTAGCTGCTTTCCAAACCACATCAGTGACATGACCTTGATCAAAAAAGTCTCCAAAAAGTCTTTTCTTACTTGTCAAGCACAGGAACATGGCCAGACAAACACTTGACCTGGCTCAGCTGAAAGGAGGTAACAGACAGACTGGATGGAGGAGCTAAACCAGCTTCGCTGCTAGAGAACTTGTAGTGTGGAACTCCCTTCCTAGACTGTGTTTTGGCATTCTGAATGAAAGCTATCCCTTCTGCTGCAAAATACAGCCCTCTGCACCACCTTTTCTATAGCTACTTGTTCATCTCTGCTTGTGCCATCTCTAGCCTGTGCAACACAAGCATTCGTGTTACTGCTTGGTGAATGGGACTGAGAAGTTAATCTGGAGGAAGAAGAACCTGAAAATAGATAGAAATTGACTCCTTGATTTTTTTCAGAGAACAACACGAGAATGAAAAGGAGTAGCCAAGACAGCTGTAGGCTACAGACTAGTTTTTCCAAAATGCCGGCTAGTCTTCATTTCAGACCACAGCCCCATCATCAGAATGGCCTGTGGGGACTTTGTGTGCCTTGCTTGAACCGTAGCTGTTCTCAGGGTTTCCTAACTCACTCGAAGGACTGGAAGAAACAGGCTGGCTCCGTGCAGATCCATCTTGAGAAACTCATAAAGAAAACTGCATACAAATTCTGTGAATTAGCAGCTGAGGAAGCATATTCAATTCATAAGGCAAGGATAAATTCTCACGAGTGTGCTTAGTTCATTTATTTGATGAGCATTGTTACTTTTAATTATTTATGCTACTTTGTAGCAGATCAGTGCCACATTTTGTCAAAGATATGTGATTCAGTAATGAGATGCCTCAGTTTTATCTACTACCGTTAAATCTTGCTGCAATATAGAAAAAGACAATTTTCCATTTATGAATTATGGGTTTGCAGATTAGCAAAGTACCCGTTAGCACAGGTTCCTCTGTGTTTGCTAAGGCTATTTTTCCTGTGGCAACAAGCCTAGGCAACACCACATTTCTTGATGTGTCCTGGGATTTCTGAGAATGTCACAGTCACCGAGATCTGAGCCCTGCCTGTTCCTCCTCGCCTTACTCTCGTTTTAAGAATCCCATGCAGAGAAGATACGCTGAATGAGTGACAATTTCCTGCTGCCTGAAGCTGCCTTGTTGCTGCTACTGGTGCAGCCCTCACTCTGCGGCCTGGGAGCAAAGGCGGGAGCAGGGACTAGCAAGCCTTCAGTGACTGTTTCCAACCTCCAGTGCAGCAGAGCAGGCACAGGACCATGGCGACCTGCATGTCAGATAGGATAGATAGTTATGGGGTGACTCTAGACTCCCTTTTACTAAGTCTACAGCTCCTTCAAGTGCACGCAGTGCTGACTTTATAAGTAAGCATTGCTCCTGCCTCGAGGTAAGATAAGCTGTGGCCCATTCCCACAGTCTAGAAAAGAGAAAATCTGGATTCGCTTCATATGCAAGGTCTCTACAAAGGAGGATAAAAGATGTGATTTAGGCAGTCTGGCTGTAGTTACAACACCAGTGAAAATACTTAGCTGTGAATCGGAGGAGTGGTCTCCAGAGCATGTCATTTCTGCTAAAAATCCACACAGTTTCTCATTCTGAATTCACTGAATCTGTTTAGTACATTTAGTTTTCCAGTAAACATTCATTCTGGAGAGTAACCTTCTCCATCAGTGTTGCAAGCTTTTTGTAGGAGGGTTTTCTGAGTCAGAGTCACTTTTATGGGGAACTTTTATCTGCACAGTTAAGGACAGGGAGAGATGATCCAGGTAATGGTGACTGTCTTCTGGGGTATTGTAACAAAGAGATCCACAGGGTCCCAGAGATCAGCTATTTTACATACCAGAAGCCAAAAAAAGCGTGTGACGCGGCTCACTCTCCTCCAGTTGTCTCCATTAACTGGCTCTGTTTTGGCTTCCGTCTTCTAATTTTGCTGACACCACTTTTGCGTTTGTCCTCTGGCCATGCCATCGCAGCTAAAATGAAGGATTTATGTCATCCTTCCCCTTCTATATCCTCTCCAGACTCCTCTGTTCTGCACTGTTGTGAATACACTAACACGCTCCCTGTCACATGGGCTGTTGTGAGCCTCAGTGCTTCCTCCTCTCCAGTCCTGCAACACCCTGCTACTGGTGTTCAAGCTTCAGAAAATTTTTGCTCACAGCAGTTTTAACAGTCGCCTTCTCTGTTCTAGTCCAAGAGTCCAAGAGGGAAGGGCTGATTTCTTTATTAGTTGCAGCAGTGAGGTTGATGGCATGCAACTTCTGGCATCCTGCCATTGCTCTGGACTCACCCTAAATGCCAAACGCCCATAATGCTCCGTAGGATAAGTAAAAGGCCTTGTCCCCAGCTCCTAACTCTCCCTGAAACAGCGAAGCTGTGCTTGTGCCCAGCAGGTCTTTCTCCTGGTTTGCAGTCTCGTGACAGCTCTGCTGGAGCTTTAGGGGGGAAAGGTCAGGACTTGGAGCAGGGGAGCACGAGACGTACCTCAGGCCTTGAGGGCAAAGCCTTCCCTGTGAGGGAGCATACCTCTTTTTAGGCCTTTTGCTTCTCAAACTGTTCCTTACTCAGGAGGTCCCTGAGTCAGTCCAGAGGGCCACAACATTTTAGTCTTTCAATTCTCTTTTTCTGCCATTTCTGCCCTCGTCAAGAACTGTGCCAGCACAGAGAAGATGATCTATGATACTGCTCACTGCTTACAGAAGGAAGTTGTCCATTTACAGGTATTCACTTGTAGAGACTGTAACTTATATCTTTTGCATAATGTGCTAATAATAATTTATTATGTTTCAGGTTGTTACCACTGGAAACCCTGTCCTAGATTATGAAACTATGCCAAAGAGCTTTGATTTACAGATTTTTGTTGAAGATACAAATGGCAGAACTGACCTTAACACACTGACTGTCCAAGTAACAGATAAAAACGAATCTCCTGTATTTCAAGGAAATATGGCACTTCAAAGTAAGATAATGGCAGTATTTGAAAAGAACAACACTTGAAAAGATGATACCAGAGATGATAGATAAAACATAACTGCAAATAGTGCCTGTAGTTAAAGTGGCCTAAACATTTTCCCTTAGGAAAAAGAGGGAGGGATAGGACATTGTTTTTATCAGAGCATTATTTTCAGCTAAAATCTTGTGTACTTAGTCTCTGGGAATGCCCTTTTAGTTTTGCAGAAGCTTTGACCAAAAATGATTTAGCCATTTTCAAATGTTTGAAGAACAAAAAGGAACTGTTATTTATGTTGTCTTTTTGATGAGATGAAGTACTCTAGAGGTATGTACTAGAAACTTGAAGATTGGTAGAGATGTAACCATTTGAGCATGGGTAGACGTTTCAGTAGTTTGTTGAACACCGGACTGATTTGGAGATGCAAGATAGATTTAAAGAAGTGTATGTTGTGCACGTGCAATAATTTGGGGGGAAAAACAATAAAAATAATGCTCTGGCAATGTTTTACATCCATATATTGCATTTGCCCCTGCATATGAGGATATAAGTGGAAAATCAGTTTGAAAAGTGAGATCTCACAGGCTGTGATTTATGATGGTGAAAATGGAAAGAGGCAAATAATTCAGGGAAGGTGCAATACCGAAGAGGCTCTGGCAGTGTTAGGAGTGAGGCTGAAGTATCAAACCCTGGCTGGCATCAGTGTCGGGCTTGTAGGCTGTGCGGGAGATAATGCAGAGGACTACACTGTCAATTGAAAGGATAGCGAATAATTGTCTTCCTCTCCGAGCAATCTTACCTTGTTTATTTGCTACTGAGGAGGGCCTGCACAAATTGTAGCATGAGGTGACAGAGTATAATAACATATTCATTATGTGTTCATATACAGGCAGAACGTTCAGGTAATGAGTGAAAATATACCCATTACTTGCAAGGTATTGAGAGCAAGTTTAAAGTATTTGCTAATACTCTAACAGTATTGTACAGAATAGCATTCAATAATTCAATATTCAGAACAATTTATTTTCTGTCTGAAAATACTGAACTGTGATGGGTTCCTGGTATGTACTCAGAACTGGCTGCTGAACTCCCCTAAATACGGACTAGGCCAGTGTTATTTAGGGCTGGGGCTCGTCGCCCTTGAGGAGGTCGCAGCGCAGTGTGGCTGTAGGCTTGATGCCCTGGACCCTTTGCTGCTGCTCTGGTTCAGCGCAGCCCTCCTGAAACACAGCCCGTTTAACCAAGGCCTCTTAAGCACATTGACATTCCTGCTTCCATACGATACTTGGTTTGTAAAGCAAATTATCTTCCCTGAAAGAAGAGGCTGTGTGATCCTCTTAGTGTAGCTGGTGTCTTGCATATCATGGGTGCTGCTGGAATCTAATAACAATTAACTGTGACACTTCAGGGGACTGGCACAGCATGAAACACCCTCTCCGTGGGAGCTTGTTACAAATAAATGCATCAGCTTAACTCTCAGCTAGAGCTGCCATAAATTGGTGAGCGCAGATGTCTGATCTGTCTAACTATATGGCTTTAGTTAACAGCATCAGCTACAATTAAACACTAATTGCGCATTCATTGGTTACTAAAAAGCATCTCCCTCTCATTAAACTTTATATCATATCGTTGTCCTCTGGGAATCCTCATTACTCTGCTCTGGGATTCCCGCTGCTCGGATGAGAGGCAGCACTCAGCAGGGGTCACACTGGAAATTAATAGTCCAGAAACACAAGGTCCAGCAGACACGAAAGGGCAAGAAGTAAATAATGTGATCTAAAGAGCTGATCTGTTAATTGCCATGCCCAAAGAAAGCTCTTACGTTGCCAGTGACGCAGTGCAGGATAGCCCAGGTGCCCTAAGTCCTGACATGGAAAGAAATACGCTTTGCACTGAATTAGTCCCCTTAATAAGGTAACAGTTTAGGTTACCGCAGACCATCTGCCATTTATTTACCTTGCGGACATAAGGGGAAAGTAAGACTGAAGAAGAAGGGTGCTGGGCTGTCCTGGCAGGGTAGGGGGTGAACGAGAAAGGCGGCCGGCAGGGGGCTGCCTTCTCCCCATCCATATGTAGAGAAGCGTATGTGGGCCATATGCACTGTTTTACTCCATACCTTATGGGCAGCTTGCGGCAGGCTATATGTGATGACCAGTCTTTATCTCTGAGGCATGGTCCGTATAGCTGCTATCAGTGACAGTCGCCTGCTTATGAATACCTGGTTGCTTTCTTTTTTATCTTTTGGGTATCTATCTGTGCTCTTTCCCGTGGCAATTTTGGGATTACACTTGTGAAGTGAGAACGCGCATCAGGCAGTGATACGTCTGGACACCTTCGGTGCGTCAGCATGTTTGCTGCCGTGTTCTTTAGTCTTATCCGATTATCTGACTATATTTCTGTTCATGCAGCTGTAGTGATCTATATCTTGGAAGGAAGCAGAACACCACCCGGATTTATTTACCAAGTCGAAGCAGCTGATCCTGAAAATGCCCAACTCAAAGTAAGTTATATTAAAGAAAAAAAAAAAAGAGTTAATGTAATCCATTGTATTTGAAACCCTAATAGCCAGCAGCTTTCAACAAGGAACTTCCCTATCAGGAACACAGAAAAAGGTTTAGTCAGTTAGAAGGAAGCATTTTAAATAATAATATAAGAAAACCAACCCTCAACAGTAGGACACGAATTATACTTTTAAGTTCTCATCATGTCAGGATTAAGAGATGGTGAAGGCGGTTAGATATAGCTGATCAGAGATACAGTAGCAATTGGCTCTCTTTTTTTGCAAATGGCTTCCAAAACACTTTTTGTACACGAGAGTGACTAAAGATAAATGCCATTTTGAATCTTCTGTGTTGCAATGACCATTCTTTCAAATGAGATAGTAGGGAAACCACTTACAAGGCAACTGAATGTCAGCTTTTTTGGCCATCCTAGGGCAAACTGTGACCATCGGTTAAGAAAATGTGTTAGCTGATCTGAAAATACTCTTGATATCAGGAAAATTTTCTAGGAAGTGATAACTTGGTTTGCAGAAAGGGTAAAAGTAACTGCACTTACCTAAGAATAGTTCCCCAGCTTGGCTTTGTGGGCTTTTGTTTTATAAAAGACCTCCTGTTCAAGAACAGAACCTGAAAATATGGCTTCAATGCGGAGCTTTATTCAGGCGAGTAATTACCTTGAAGTCCTTACTTAGGCTTTGCCCAGTGAAACCACCAAGCAGCGTGGGCTTGAGCTAGGCAGGAAGGAAGCAGAGGCCCAGGGATTCAGCTCTGCTTCATTACTGAGAGCGAGTTCCACCGGTCTTTCAATCTTTGCCAAATCTCAGACATCATAAGAAGCTGAAAATACAGCAATGCTGGACAACAGGTAAAATAATGTTCCAGAGAGGGAATTTAGAGTGGTTACATGGCAAAAAATTGTTAGAAGAACTGCGATTGCACAGCTACTTTTTCACAGTTTCAATTACATATGTCACTGCAGGAGGCAAGAGGTTTCACTCTGATCTCTTTACCGCCTGTTTTTTTCGAAAAAGTAACACTAGAGAAGTTGTATCACGTGGACAGATCTGCTCAGTTGATTTTGCAGACTCATTACTTGTATGGTGGGTGATCCTTTGATGTTGCACACTTGAGACTTTATGGGCACCTTTGCTGCTTCGCGCGCGGCTCTCGATGCCCCAGCCCGGCCCCTTGGCTCCCTTCTCTCCTGCGGGTTCCTGCTCTGCTCTCACTGCAAAACTGGCCTTTGCCTGCCTCTCCAGGAGCCTTGAGGTGGCTCTGCTCACAGCCCGTGGGTGAAATTCTCATTGCAGATGGGGATTTTCTATGTCTGCATGTTTCATTACGTAACGTTTTGCAACAAATCCTGTACTATAACTTGGCCCGTTCTCCAAGGCAAGGAATAAATGGAGGGATGGCTAAACAAAAAGCTAATTCATAGCTTTTTTAATTTCAGTATTCGCTGGCCCCTGCATCAGTGCCATTCTCAGTCTTTGAAAGTGGAGCCATTTTTTCTGAAAGAGAATTTGATTATGAGAAAGATCAACATAGGTGAGAATTTATTTTATGCATTAGTCTTTCTGTTTGCTCACTGTGGGCAGAGAAAAAATTCATTATGTATTTACAGAGTGATTCTGGTTTTGTTTTACTTAACAGTTACTTTTTAAATATAACAGCGACAGATCCAGAAGGACTCCGCTCTACTAAAACAGTGAATATAAATATCATTAACATCAATGATGAAAGACCTTACTTTACCACGTGAGTGAAAAACTTCCGTTTTGTTCCAAACGTAGATGTTTTCCCAGCTTTACTGCTTTGGCACCAATGGTAGGGAGTGATGTAAGGGTAAGCTAATATAACAACAAAGTACTACTGAAAACAGTATTTTCATTTTGTTATGATTCCTGGTGTCCTGCTGAAATGTTTTCCCCTCATTTCCCTTTCTTATTCTCATTTTTATTTGTAACGGTTGTTAGTTTTCCAGGCTGCGCGCACATGCCAAGAAAAGCCAAACAAGTTCATTGTACTTGTTAGCATTTAGGTAGGTCAAAGCTATGCAAAGACCTTTGGACAAGTTCAGGCAAAGAGGTGAATTTCACCCTATGTGAACACAATCATACAGAATTTACCCTTCATGCATACCCTTCATTTCACCATAATGATGTTTATTCATGCAGAAGTGTCTAGCCATAAAAAGGCCTCACTTTTGATCTCTTTTCCTCTTCTTCCCAGACACTTAGACTTGTAAACAATCCCAGTCATCTCTGAAACATTCCCACCTCTTACTGGGTCATAAGCAGGAAATGGTTGTGTTATAACACACAAGTCAGAAATAGCTTTTGGAGGTTAATGGACTTTTAGCTGGAATCAGGAACACAGCTGAAAATGTGCAGAATGGAACTATGCCTACGCCGCCACGCAGGCCATGTTGCATGGGAAAGCACCCCAGACTGTGGTTTCCAAAGAGGGAGGCTGACAAGCAGAATTCTTAAAGATTTGTTCTGATTCCGTTATTGATTCATCTTTGCTGCTTTGCATGAGACACTAAATTGGATTCAAGACACCTTCTTATGTCCCCTGATCCTGAGGATGTCCAAGGGCTTAGCTGGTCCCTTCTGCGAATAGTTATGATGGCTTCTCCCCTGTCGTCTCTGCAATGGGGGCAGGAGACAGCGCAGCACCCGGGCCATGCCTAGAGGCTTCTAAGTCACTGTTTGGAGCAAACTTCTGGGGGCTTTGGGGAGCCAGAGCGATGCACAGCTGCTGTGCTGAGGCCAAGGTTCTGGACCTTGCTGGGGAAAGGCCTGGAGAATCTGATGAAACAGGCGAATGAAATATCAGAAACAGATATGGGTTTTTTTGCTACTTATTTAATACTTGAACTTCATGGCTGGAATAATCAATAAGGAAAGGTTAACAGCTTGCACCGCCATATTACTGTACTGCTACAAGCAGAGGAATCTGCGTCCCAGTGCCAACATTTGCACAATGTGTTCTAGAATGATTATTTCCTCCAAATATTGCCATTTCTGTTTATTTATCCTTACATCTGGAATGCTGAAGGAGCTCTTTTAAATATTTATCTACTTATTCAAGCCAGTGAAAGCTGCAGTGACTTCAGCATCCATGACATCTAAGGCGTAAGGCTTAGTTCTCATGTGGCACAAATAATGCCTGGTATTTGTTTAAATTGTCTCCCTTTTAGGAGTCAGGATTTCTACTGGCACTACAGGCCAAAAAGAGAAGCTCAAACAGTTTGTAAAGAGCTTGAGATTCAATTACACTTCATGAGCTGTCCTCACTATGTGCATGTATCCCCTCTCCCGTGCTAAAATGTGAGCTGCACACTGGGGCTATGGATTTTCTGACACGAATAATTAGTATTGTGATGGAAGTAGGGGAAACTTGACAAGTTAGCAAACTTTCTATATTTTCTCCTGATCAAAGCTTTCAAGACCAAAATTTTCAGGGGTCTTTTTAATTGTTCCCATAGTATATGCAAGCACATCTGTTTTGCTGTTCACAACACTGCATTGGCATTCAGCCTTTTGAAAATCTGGCTGTAAAATGAATGGAAAACTTTTGTACTGTGGAAAATAAAGGAGAAGACAAGAAAACAAACATATGCTTCCTTCTTCATTACATTACAGTATCTAAAAGATCTTCTTGAGCTATCCTATGGAAAGGCAGTGGCAGGATGCAGATAGATTGACAACAGGGCACAGCCCCGACACGACTCTATAGGAAGTGGCCCAAACTCCTGTGCAGCTGGGCTAGCGCCCACTGCTAGGGTGATGTGCTTGAAAATGTCCTGCTTCTTCATAAGAGATGCGATGGGGACAGGCCAAGGGCCTGGGTTGGGCCCAGGAGTCCTGGTCAGCACAGGGGGGCTGCAAAGAGGGGCTGTTTGCAGGAAGGCCAATTCTGGGGTTCCCCAGCAGGGGATTGTCCCCCACGGATGTTCCTACTCTGAACCAAACCCATCAGAGCTGTCCCTCCCATATCCCCCTTCGGCTGGAGACAGGAGGAATTTTGGGGTGGCGTTTTTGGCAGCTGTGATGGAGACGTGCTGCTGTTTTGTTTCTGAGTGTCTCAGGAAGGAGCAAAAGGAGAATGAGGTAGAAGGAGCCCCAAGAGCAAGAATGAGACTAACTTAATATGCTGGCTGCACAGATTTTTCTTTGCTTCTGGCTGGAAGTTGGGTGTTTCTACTGGGAAAACCGTATGTGACTTCTCTCCTGTGTGCCTTCCTCTTTTCGTATGAGATAACACAATGGTTGGAAATATTGCATCTTCTTAACCATTCTTAAAATTGAAAGTGGAGGCCTGGAGACATGGGATCTTCTGTTCTGGCTCTACAATTCTCAGCTCCAAACGCTACAAGCCACCCCATGATATCAGCTTTCAAAGGCCAATGAGGGCCCACTGCTTTCCTCAAGTTGGGAATCACAGAATCACAGACTGGTTGAGGTTGGAAGGGACCTCTGGAGATCATCTAGTCCAACCTCCCTGCTCCAGCAGGGACCTCTAGAGCATATTGCCCAGGATCACATCCAGACGGGTTTTGAATATTTCCAGGGAAGGAGACTCCACCACCTCTCGGGGCAACCTGTTCCAATGCTCAGTCACCCTCACAGTCAAGAAGTTTTTTCTCAGGTTCAGATGGAACTGCCTGTGGTTCAGTTTGTGCCCGTTGCCTCTTGTCCTGTTGCTGGGCACCACGGAGAAGAGGCTGGCCTCATCCTCTTGACACTCCCCCTTCCGATACTTGTACACGTTGATCAGGTCCCCTCTCAATCTTCTCTTCTCCAGGCTGAACAGGCCCAGCTCTTGCAGTCTTTCTTCATAGCTCTCCGAGAGGTGCTCCAGCCCTCTAATCATCTTTGTAGCCCTAACTACAACTACAGACTAGTCTATGAACTAAGTGATGGCATAGGAAGTTTAAAATGTGCAAAAAGGATTCAGTCTTGAAACACATTCATAATGCTTTTCTGACTGTTGAACACCCACAACTCCCTTTGATTTCTGTGAGCAGACAGGGTGTGTGTGTGTGTGTGTGTGTGTGTGTGTGTGTGTGTGTGTGTATTTCAGTAGAATAAGTCAGTCTTCACTTGCACGGTTTTTGCATGCTCGTGCATGCCTGTTTTTGCACATGGTTCAGGTACCATAATTACATATCTGGGTACCCATGTGAACATGCAAGCTGCAATCATTGTAAGCATTC